CTCAAACCACACCTTGGATCAGCTGTGAAGAACTGAGGAAATGGTCTGGAAATCACAGAATAACCAGCTGCAGCTGAAGGGGACAGAGACCTGGTCACAGAGACCAGCACAGAGACCAGCACAGATCCAACTCAATGGTTCTGTGTGAACTAACAAGGAATTAACCTCAGTTTTCATAATCAAAATCATTAACGGTTCAAACTTCAACCACAACACATAGAAAGATTGCTGAACAGGGAAAATGACAGGTGGTTATTATTCAAAAACCATTTGTCCAGAAAAGTGTGTGACTACTCAGAGTCATCGAGTTCAGAGAGTCACCCTGGTGACAGAAACCGTCTCGGTGTCCGACTGTTTCTGCCATCAGAAACAATCAGACCATCATTCCAGGCAGAGTCTGCAGATACATTAGGTGCTCTTTTTGAGACTATAAACTTTCATAGGCCATGGATGGAGGGAAGTAAATTAAAAATGTGTTTGAAGAGCAAAATAGCCACAGAAATGCCTTGAATCTGAAGTAATTCTTTCTAGAACCATGTTCCCTACAGTTTTAGATCCATCCATCCATTTTCCATCTCGCGCATCCCTGCTGGGGTCGCGAAGGGTGTTGGTGCCCATCTCCAGCAGTCAATGGGTGAAAGGGCACCCTGGACAGGAAAAAAAAAACAGTCCATTGCAGGGCAACACAGAGACAAACAACCATTCACGCACACACTCACTCCTAAGGAGGATTTAGAGAAACGAATTAACCTAACAGTCATGTTTTTGGACTGTGGGAGGAAGCTGGAGTACCCGGAAAGAATGCTCAGGAACAACAGACTCCATGCAAATAGACCCAGGCCGGGAATCAAACCCAGAACCTTCTTCCAGCAAGATGTAATATTTTGAACGTGTGAATCTGAATGGGAGCAATAACTGAAACAGTTGGTATAATTGAAAAGTTTATTGAAAGAATGGAAATGAACAAGATTGAATTTCAGCTGGTCGGGGGTCTTGTGAGCTCTGCTGGGAAAGATGGGGAGGATAGTGAAAAACTTGAGCTTTGGGATTTGTGAAAATGATGTTTGGATGATGAACTCACTGAGGTGGGGGCTTGGGCTTGGTCTGGGGGAAGAAGTGCATTTCAGTTGTCCGGGTTGTTGGTGCAGATCCAGATCCTCTCTCTGTGTTGGTTTCTTGGAGGGTGGACAGGCAGACAACTGCAGGCAGGAGGGCTGACAGAAGGATCCAGGGTTCTTCTCTGGTACAAGACGGTTTCCAGGAGTTTTTTTTTATTTTTTTTTTTAACTCTGATCCAAGGCGTGGGTTTCCAGGTCTTTCACTGGATGGCTTTCTAGGAGGAAACGACAAGAACGAGGTCAGGTTAGGGATAAACAAGGAGATGGTCAGTACCACGCTGAAGCATAAACAAACTGACGCCCTACTTCTTGTTCTTCTTTATGGAATTTTTTGACAGTTGGCACGCAACGAAATGGTGCATTACCGCCACCAACTGGTATGGAGTGTGGATTAGAATGGCTAATAATTTATACTAAACAAACAAGTCACAATCAAATTACAAAAACAATATCAACAAAACCACAATAAGATTCAGATCCTCTCAATTACATTTATTAATCTAAGATAATGAAAAACAATTACATAACACTTATCTCTTGAGTTTTTTCTAAGTATTTCTTTTAAATCAAATTGTATTCTTTCCATTTTTAGATTTTGAACCATTTTTTTTTTCCTTTCTCTTTCTTACTTCCTACAGTATCTGACACCCTCCTCCTGGTTCCAGCTCCTTATGAAGGGTGGTAATTAGCTCTGATTGAACGCACCTGCCCATCCAGCCCTGCAGAGGAAGGAGAGAAAGTAAAAACAGACCTGCACCTAAACCACAGAGTATGACACAAGGCAGCAGGGCTACAACTGCACTACTATGCAGCCCTACAGTTTTCCCATCGTCCTGTACACCAGACGCGGTTCTTTTACCTTGAACATTTGTCACTTTTTACCTTAACATACTTTTTCATTAACTGTCTTGCTTTTTTTTCTCATGTTCATTTCCACTTTTAACCTTTGTGGGGAAAAGAGAAAGAGATTATCTACCTTCTGCCTTAACTATCTGTTGCACTTTGATCATTTTTAATCAAATGAATGTTATATTAGAACAGGAGCCTATTGAAGAATGTTTTATTTCTGTTCAAGCAGATGGAGACCAGCAACATTTGGGGCAAATAAATACCTCCAGGAGTAAAGTAGGAGCTTCCCCAGCTGCATCTTAAATATTATCAGAGAGCTTATATTCTCAAGATATATAATTGAAAGTACAGTTATTTGTGCAAAAGGGAGTTTAGATAATGAACAGAACCGTAAACATACATTGTTTTTTGACCTGTTCTTGGGTTTAAGTCTGTATATTTTCTCTCTGTGTGTGAAGAAATAATTTCACTGATATGAACCAATGATGTAATGCTGTGATGTTTTGACAGACTACGATCCGCTTTCTGACTCATTTGCTTTATTTTTACTCCATAGTTACAAGAAAAAAACCAAGAACAGCCCAGAAAAAAGGAAGTAGTTAAAAATGAAACAGAAAGTCTTTTTTAATCTGAGGCCTGATCCTCCTGATTCCACCATAAAACTTTGCCTCAAAATAATGCAGACCTATATTAAAAAGAATCGCTCTGCAAACCCTTGACCATTAAAACCATAAAACTGTGACCTGAACCAAGTTCAATGATTTGGTTCTGATCATCCTGAAAACTTTCTACATCTGGGTCAATAATCGAAAAGTAGTTCCTGGAACCAAAATTCATCTGATTGCCTTTAACAGTGTAATTAAACAACACAACCCAAAACCAGAAGAACCTTTCAGTACAGTTCCCCTCCTCCTAGATGTCCCCTGTCAGCAGGGGACATCTGGAAGGAGGGGAACTCCGGAGTCCAGGATCCCGCTCCATGAGGAGTTTCAGGCATTATTCAAAATCCTTAAGTTTTTGTCCAAGTTCTTGTTCCTAGTCTCTCCCATACTCCCTCATAGGACCTGATCTAGGCAGCAGCCAAACCTTCCTTTTCCTGAGCCTGGCCCCTGGAACGGTTCCTTTGTCTTGGTGAGGAATTAACGCCATTGTTAGTGGGATTCTGCTTCAAGGTTGAAGCCTCTAAGTTCCAGACAAATAAACACCAAGAATCTTCAGCAAAAGTTGCTAAATCCAGGTTTGAAAGCATTTTTTTAAGCTGAACCTTGAAAACCTATTATTTGAACTAAGTGGAAATAAAAACTAGAAAATGATTAACAAATGATCTACTTTAAATCTTTAACATCAGTAGCTCAGGAACTGAGCAACATAATATTGTGTTAAGGGACAGGCAGGTAGCATCAGTACAGAGTCTGTGGGAATTTCCTTCTTTCTACCATCCCCAAAAAATTAAATGAATCTTTTAATATATATATATAAGAATTGAAAAACATTTTTTTTCTCTAAATGATAACTATAAAATGAAATGGCCTCCAGTTGTTTATACTGTATCCTGGACAGCTGAAGTATATTGGGTAGCCTCCTGCAGCCTGTATTAAAATCTCTGTCGATATTTAAAAAGTTTACATTTTTATATTCAAATGAAATTACAACCATTAAAAGACATTTATAAATCACGATCACTCATGAGCAGCCTAAAGCAGCCACAACAAAAATACATGTTTTGTCATTAAACATTTACATGAATAAAAAACAAATTCTCACGTGGAGTATAAAAATAATCTGTCCCTTCATAAAGTTTTAGTAAAACCTAATAGGAATATATTTTCACAATCCTAAACCTCTTTTCTTTTCATGTGCACATAGATACAGCTGTTTTTGTTTTAAAAGAGCTGTTATTATTTTGATAGGATGTAAATGTAAAGTTTAAAGTTAATGTATATTTAACTTCTGATAATTATGTTTATTAGTATAGGATGTTATCATAAATAACATTCTGATAATTTTCCTTTGTAGAAATTTTAAAGTAACAATTACATTGGAAATGTAAATGATACTCTTCAGGGCATCTTTATAGAGGTTTTTAAAGCTTCCATGCATTTTGTTTTTCATTTGATTTGATAAATTCATAATTCAAATGCAAAACCAGCATCCAGCCGTGTTTAAAATAATATGAACATTTACTTTCTGATGTAGGAGTAACAGTTGAGGATCATTAGGAACTTTAAATCTGATGCAGCCATTTGAATCAAACTTATAGCTGCAGCCCGATCTTGATGCTAAATGGTAGAAATCAACTCGCTAGTTATGCTTAGTTTATATGCAAATTAAATAAATTATCCATTAATCAGAGGATCCCGTATGTGTTTGTTAAGACATTTTTGGCATTTTTTCATCCTTAAACGTTTCCCACACAGAGACCAGGGTGAGGGAGGTCAGACCAGAGACCTTGCGTGGACAAAGAGTGAAGGTTTCAGATTAAAGCTGGGAGAAATGAGGAAACCTGCAGCATAAAAACAAGATCCTGGTGTTGCTCACCTCTCCTTTGAACATCCTAATCTGTGGCGAGTCAGATTCAATTGCAGGAATTGCTTTCACCACCTGGTCCCCAACTCACAAGGAGGTATAAATACCTTGCAACACCTGCCAAAATAACCATGGTAACAGGGCTGTCACGGAGAAGCATGGTCTACGCCATGAAGGACATTTAAATGAATTACAGCAAAGTGACAGCAGTGACTAAAAAAAATGTTGTCAACTCAACTAGTGTGATTTTAAAAGGTGTTACAGGTCCAAACGCCTGCTGTTTAAAATCCATCACAGCCTAATATTTTCTGTTAGGAAGACTATGAGAAGTAGGTCCATTTTAAATTCTTCAAATGATCTACATTACCTTTGAAGCCGAAAACATGTATTAATTAACCGCTGATCTGAAATATGAGGGTTTTTTTTTCTTACTCTTGGTTTACTCTCATAAATGTGACAAACAGATGAATAATTACAGTTCAGATCAGATTGAGGTTGTTTCCCTCATTTATTATGGTGTGTTACATTTAATATTTGAAGCTAAATGTGAATCAGTGTCATCTTTCAGGTTTAAATCATAAAAGCTCAAACTCATGAAAAAGCATCAGGTACAAGAGTCCTTGAGTCAAAAACAAACAAATGGAATCACATCATCAGTTTTTAATTTATTATTGTCAGTTAAAAGTTTGCATGACGAACAACATTTTCATGCACCATTTATTTCATACATCCTGACGCATGTCAAACCCTGCCCTGCAGGTTTTTTGTGTGCGGAACGTAATTACGGCTCCGATAAATCTAACAGTTAAGTAAAAAAAAAAAAAAAAAAACAGGCCCAATCACAATCCCCCCTTAAACATTATCGCTAAACACTAACCCTCAGTTTGCGTGTTCCCACAGAGGGTGCACCAGATTGAGGGTCATCCCAAACCCTGTAGTTTTATTTTATTTTTTCACTATAAGGACAAGAGAAGGCACAGCATGTGTGCTGGATGATTGGTGGGACCATGAGGGGTGGCTGGTTAAGGGTTAGTGCTTAGGAAGCGGTTGGGGATTAGGCCACAATGTCCTTGTCTCAATACTCACACTACACCCTACACTCCTCTGAAGTGTAAACCTGGTGGAAGTGCACTAAAGGGTTAGAGTAGACAGGTTACAAGCATGAAAATCTGTTGAAATGGTACAGCATGAAAGTCCTCTCATCCGACCGTGAAAATGAGTGAATTTGACATACGCCAATTATAGTGTACATTTTAAGAACGTGGTAGCGTGGTTTTACATGTACAATATGAGCCTTTATAGATTCTAAAGCAATGGCCCCAGATATGTGGCTGCTTTGTTTTTTACTCGTTGAATACAGAGCAAAATCTCCATGCTATTCCCATATGTAGAGTGCAGTACAAAGTCAATAATCTCAATCTTTACATTTGAAGAACTTATTTTTTTTGTAACAAGCACTGGAGCTGGGCTGGTGAAAATCCCCACATTTCTGCTGTTTATTTCAAAAATGTCAGCAGCAATGAATTGTGGGTACACTTCACTGAAGTCTGTTTTGAAGTGTGCCTTAATCTGGTGTGGACCAATTAGGCGTAGGGGGCATCACAACAGAGCGCTCTAGAGAATCAGGATACCCTAGATACTGCAAACCCTCAGCGGGAATCTGCAACAGTGGGACACAAGGTCGGGAGTGTGACTATTGGGACAGGGCAAAAATAGCCTACTCTTGAGTTCAAACATTCAGCTACAGGTTAGCTAGCTTAGCATCAGCTGCAGGCAGAGTAAGCAGAGAAGGTAGGAAAATAGCCCTCCTATAGCTCCCCTAGTCACCATACAGACAAAGACAAGTTTGTTCATGCAGATTTTCGCTTTTCACCTCCACAGAAAAACTTAAAGGACACAAAAAGTTAAAGATAATAAAAAACTTCCTTTTAGAAAATCTAATTGCACCAATCACCAGAACTCCTGTTCTGAACAAGGGAGAAAGCTGCTCCTTCCTGAAAATGATAAGAATCATTAATTCTAATTATTAATTATCATAATTAGAATTATGAAGCTCTAAAGTGGGTTTTCAGTGTGCAGTCTGAGGTGGCTGTTCAAAGCTGATCTGTTTTTAAATCTTTTCTCACACTGGTTGCAGGGGTACGGGCTCTCCCCTGTGTGTGTTCTCCTGTGGATCACCAGATGCACGTTTTGATTAAAACTTTTGCCACAAAACTCACACGTGAACAGCTTCTCATCCATGTGAGTTCTCATGTGGACTGAAAGGTTGTCGCTTCTCCTGAAACCTTTGTGACATGTGGGACAGAAGTAGGGCCTTTCCTCAGAATGACATCTTCTGTGAAGGATCAAGCTGCGCTTCGTAGTGAAGCTCTTTAGACAGGTTTCACAGGAATATGGTTTCTCACTGGAGTGGATGTTTGTGTGCTTCGACAAGTCGCTGCTGCATCGGAAACATTTACCACAGATGGTGCATGAGTACGGCTTCTCCCCGGTGTGGACCCTCATGTGGGTCAGTAAAGCAAACTTTCTGATGAAACTCTTCCCACATGTTTTGCATGAGAATGGCTTTTCCCCTGTATGGATTTTCCGATGCCTTCTCATTGCATATTGAAACCTAAATTCTTTATCACAGAAATCACATTTGAATAAAGTTTTGTTTGTATTTTGGTCAGATTGACTCTCTATTGATGGACGGTTTGTTTCTGGCTCTTCAGACCTGCTCGATCCCGACTCTTGATTCTCAGCTTTCGGAGATCTCTGAGGGAGAAGTTGTTCACCATTTGGTTCTGGTTCACTGTTGCCAGTTTCCTCATAATCAACGGTCACCATTAGTGTTTCTGTCTCCTTCTTCAGAAGCAGCTGCTCAGCGTCCTGACTGATAGATAGTTCTTCATGTTCTTCTTTAACCTCTGGAGCTTGTGGTTGTTTCCTTTTCTTCTTTTTAATCTCTGGAAGTTGCAGTTCTTCTTGTAGAGCTCCCAATTCCTCCTGGACCCTGCGGGTAAAGAGCTGCTGCTCATTGCAGCTGTCATCCTCACAGAGATGATCATAGCGAAGACCTGGAATAAAAGAAAAACAGAAAAATTATATCAAAATATTGATAAGAAACAATGGAAGCAGGATGGTTGCCTACATCAGGGAGCTCTTAGCAAAGGCTGTTGATGCACCTGTCTCTGTGTCCTCCATCTGGAGGAGAGCAGCTGTCAGTCAGTTCTCTCAAAGTCAGTGTTCTTCACTGAAGAAAACTAAAGTGATTGCCCTGCTGACTGACTGGGGTGGCACCCGCACAGCAGGTGGTTGTGGACTAGGGTTTTAAAAGCTGAACTGCTCACAAATTGACAAACTAACTAGTGATAGCCTTAAAGGGCAAAGCCAATACCTACTAAAAATAAATCGATATACCTCAAGTTCAAATTATCTGGATTGGTTCAAATAAATCTAAAGCTTCCTACATTTTCTGATGCACAGCCCGCTAAAAGAAGCCACCAAATAGCAATCGAAGAAGAATATTCAGGAGTGTGTGCAACTGCTTTTACAGGGGTAATTGAAAGTTAATTAAAATCATGACCAGTCTGCAACGTGCAGGCTGTGATGGTATTTTATCATGCTAAGGACGGCGCACGGCCAACATGATTAAACACCAGTGGACACAGGATTAGAGCCTCGTCTTTGACCCTCTGCTCTGCTGTTGTGCTAGGGGAGCTTTCCTGAGGGACCTTGCTGTTCAGAATTAAAAGTGAAAATGTTAAAATAATGTAAAGCATATGCTACAGAATACTGTGCAATTTCAAACTCACTCAAATCTTTAAATTTTAAAAATAATTTAAATTATGAATAAATAAAATTGACTTCATTTGGAAACCAACACCACCGACTCCTATCTTTGCTGTGAACTATCAGAAAGTTAGACGGTGACAACTGAGGCGGCTACTTACCAGAGTCCGACCGAGCCGACCGTCCTGCAGTGCCTGGTGGGAAAGCGACAGCGTGCCGTGTTGGAGGATGGATTTCATCTACAGCGTCTCCACGTTCAAGCGAATTCTCCCCACAGCCTCCTGTCACAAGATCATGGAGAAAGAATATTCATGTTCCTACCAAATGCATACAGTACACAGCATAAAGGTACGATATATTTCAATTACATCAATAAAGATAAGTCATAAGCTAAAACGTTTACATTAGAATGAACCCAAATTAAATGCATAAAATTGCCATTATCTACTGAGTCCAATGTTAACGAGACCAGAAATGAAACTGCTCCCAGGTCTGTTTATTTCAGTCAAACCAATAATCAACATATAATATTGTTTTTATTTAGACTGAAACTGAATCATAGGATCACTCTCAATAGTATAATAATAAGGATGTTTACTCATTAACCCCTTAACTAAAGGCCTCAGCAGCTTTAGCTGTTCTTCTTCCAAACGCTGCATCAATCTTATTGCCCCTCGAATCAAATACAGTAGATTATTCTTCTCTTTTAACTCTTCTTGGACAGTTCTGCTTCATTTTTTCATCTCCACTGGGAGTTCCACTCTCAGTTACCTCTTTTGCTTTAGTTTGTTTGCCAATTATTTGTAATGACATATCTCTGCTCACGTTGTTTTTTTTTTGTTTTTGTTTTTTTACGGTAAATATAAAGAAAGGGATTTTTTTATTTACTAACAAATTCAACAAAAATAAAACATAATAAACAAAAAAATAACAGTGAGACACAATAACCTTTCAGAAAAACTTTGTTTACGAGCAGAGGTGTCAAGTAATGAAGTACAAATACTTTGTTACTGTACTTAAGTACACTTTTTAGGTATCTATACTTTACTCCATTACTTATTTTTCTTCCTACTTCTGACTTCTACTCATTACATTTTCACACAAGTATCTGTACTTTCTATTCCTTACATTTTTAAAACAAACCCTCCTCGTTAATCTTGGCTTCGGTTTATGTTTATAAATATATATGTCCCGTCATGTGCGCCATCCAATGCAGATCATTGCAGCCATCCACATCTACTGAAAACTAGTGTAAATGGATGAGTCATATAACGCAAACACTCATTGGTTAGCTAAAGGAAATCATCAGAAGCAATCAGGTGTTCTTCAAACTCCAAACGTGAATTGTCTCTGCCATGCTACAATGTCGGATTCAGAAAAAGATGTTGAAATGTCTAAAAGGTCTAACGCAGGCAAGAGCGTATCGGGAGATGGAGACCAACAAGACCTCCCTCATCCTTGGCCCTATCTCAAAGAATTTTTCCAAATAGTCAAAAAAGTAAGCTTTCTGTTCATATAGTGGCACCTGGCAGTTTTTTTTAAGGTTACTTTATACTTTAAGTAGTTTTTTGAGCACATACTTTTTCACTTTTACTTGAGTAAAGAGGTCAAGTTGATACATCAACTTTTACCAGTGTGTTTTTAAACTGCAGTATCTATACTTCTACTTAAGTAAGAAAAGTCTGTACTTTTGACACCACTGTTTACAAGCTACTTGTGTACAAATCAGAAGTCATATAACGTCACTATGCACCTTTAAATAACATATATGTATTGTTATCCAAGGAGACCGCCTGCTTCATACCATGTCTGCAATGCAGATGAACATAGACTACCTGCAAGGGGAAAGTGCAACCCTCCAAGGCAGGTGTGGAGCGTTCATAAGGATTCCTAAACAGTCGATCTGCCAAAGCATTTTTTTTTTACCACAAAAAACAAAGCATTGTCAGATCTTTGACACATTAAGAGAAGAAATGAAAAAGCCCTCCCTTTATGAAAAGGGATTTAAAAAATTAAAGAAAGAGGATTTGGCTAAGTTGACAAAGATGTAAACTTATCCAACTTAGAGAGGAATGAGATGTTGAGCAGAAAAGGAAAAATTAATGTAGGAAACAACCTATGAGGAACAAAAAGAAAAGAAAAAAAAAATAAAGTCTTCTTTACAAACAACTCAACACCTGAACTTTCTGAAGTTATCCTCTTTGATACGTTCCTTTTCATTTGATTGAGGTTGTTTCTTGTTTTTTATTTTAAACCTACAATCCTTGGTTGTTTGAACTGTATGTAGATCATGATGGAAGATGGAAAACCAAAACTTTTAAATTACAGGTTGGATTGAGAGGAGAGACCAATATGGAAATAACCTTTAGAAACAAACTGCCTCTGCATTTAAAAACAATAATTCATTTTCACAAAAATCAAACCCCGCCCAGGCGGCGCATGTTGTTCTGCACTAGGCAGAAAATCGAGCGTACCCAGTCTGTGTCACTGCAGACCAGCTGGGAACAATGACTTTCTCTATAGTATTGATTTCATACAGAGTCCAGCAAAAAGAAAAACGGAACAAAACACAGAGAGCGTTAATCTAACAGTATAATGTCCAGAAAATTAAAACAAAAGTTTTATTCCGGACATTTCTTTTTGTTTTGTACATCTGATGGCAGCCATATTGGACCTTAAACTGGGAGATCTGATTTTCCTAAATTTGAACATAGAAGTTCAGGTCATTTATAATTATCTCAGGACTTCTTCAAAAGCTAAATGTCGACTTTTAAGAAAACTTGAGCAAAGACCGGTACGAATCCTATAAAATCCAGATCCATACAGGTGGAACAAACTGGAGCATTGATGAGGAGCCTTCTTGTTTATCGGGGTTATTGTTCTGGGGCATTTATTAGACCAAAAATCAGCTCCCCTCCCTGACTCGGTTTCCCAGTCCCTGAGAATCCAAATGTGGACCTACCTGCTTGGTTCTGTTTGGTTCGAGGTCTCCAGCTGCGCTGACGGTCGATCTCCTCCTCGTACTGGATGATGGTTTTTTCCACCTCTGAGAAGATTTCTTCAGCAGCAGCAGTTAGTCTCTGTCTGATAAACTCTCTCAGAGGCTGAACTGAACACATTGTTGCTGCGCAGACTCAGACTGGATCCCACCACACCGAACATCAGGGGGATGCTAACAAAGAAGCTAAAACTGCTAACAGCTTGTTTGTTTACTTCCTCCGGGTGTTTCACGGAAAGGGTCCGGTCGAAACATGAAATTAGAGTTCCTCTCAAAAACACAAATAAACAACATATGTGCAATATTAACAGCTTATTGTCTTTGTATATATCGGTATTAAATGTTATTTTCTGTCTCAGATGGTTGGACAAACAAGGCAAGGCATGTCACGTTTATATAGCACAATTCAGTACAGAGATAATTCAAAGTGCTGTGCATTAATGAAACAGTAAAATAGAAGCAAAATAAAAGCAAGTAAAGATAAAAAAACAACAACGTTAGAATCAGGTATTAAAGCAAATGAAATAAAACAGTTGGACCATAAAACCTAATGATACCTCAGTTAACAGGTGCTCGAGGAGATCTTGGAAAAACGGTTCCAGCGAGCTATACTTTTGAACATGCACAACCATGCCTCTCCCTTCAGACCACCCCTTGAAAACACATGAAGTCATGCTGTCTGCAGCGCATCTAGAGCAGCAGGAACAGTGCTGATGATGCAGAGCGCTATGATCAGTTCTCTGAAACAGTTTAACACCTAGATTAACTTAAGAATCCGAAATCTGCTGGCAAAACGTTCACTTTTATTATCCTGGTACCTGCAGTTTGGATTACATACATGAAAAATGCCTTCTAGCTGCCGCAGCAAACCTTGAAGAGGCGACTGGGCCCGAGGCTGCTATTGAATGGGATTCCTAGTGACAGTGCACTAGTGACAGGGTTCTGAGCGGCTCTGACAGAATATTTGAAGGCAGGATGGTAATCTGGGTGAACTGACTGCGCTGACAATGTTTTTGGGTGGACTTTCTCACTTCAAAATAGATTCAAACTACTTTTTACCCCCTGATCACAGCAAATGTAGCTATTGTTACAGGCAAAGAAAAGATAGGGTAGCTCCGCCCAACGCGCATCAGACCCACTTTTTCCACTGCGCAGCCAGAGCAGTTAAGATGCTTTAGCTGCGCCTCAAAACTAAACTTATACTTCTCTGTGCTCTGTTTAAAACAGATTTATGAACCAGTTTACTAATATGATGGTGCCAGAAACCAAATTTCCTGATATGTAGAAGCTCTGCAGTCTGATTCTGTCTGTATAATAAGAAAACATGTGTTTATTTTAACCTGTAACTTGGAGTCATGGTCTTCTGAGAAGCCCAGCTTTTTTTTTAACTAGTAAAGAAGAAAAATACAGTTTTCTCAAGCTTCTTGCATTATAATACTAACTTGTATAAACGTACAATCTGTTGCCGTTTTTGGCTGAAAAAGCTCCGTATGTTTAACAAACATATTGTTCCATGGCAGGATCTCTAATTTTTTTAACCAACCCATCTTCTAACTTTTACTTAAACGTTGAAGTAGCTGCCGGTTAATATTCACTGAGTAGTGGCTACTCTTTACGTCTGTGAAATTCGACTGCAAATCAAATGTCTCAAAGCGACAGATCTGATTATGTTATACAAAGAGGCGGGACACCGGAGCAGCGCGACAAAGGAAAAAAAAAAACAGACTCAAAACGCTCTGAACACAGTTAGCTACACTCAACTCTGTTACCTTTGGCAGAGATTATTTGTTTTGACACGTCCACACCAGTCCTTCAGAAAGTTGCGCCTGTGGTTCTAAGCATCTAGCCAACACTGTGATGGGTTCATAGTAACCTGGTGACATTGTGATGTAAAGCTACGTGTTTTCTGTATAGTTATCATAGTGAATCATGTTTGCAATAATCTGAGCTGAAGGGAGCATGTAGATGTTGAGTAGGAGATGTAAGTTTTCTGGTCTCTGATTTAAACATCCCTACTAACAAATAGAAGTCCCTGTCCTTCAGGTAGGATTTAAACCAGTCCAGCACAACACCAGAAAGGCTGACCCAATCTAGTAGAATCCAGTGATCAACAGTATCAAATGCTGCCTGAGATTGCTTTCTAATTACTGAGATTTTCAGCAGGTGTCTTTGCTTTCCTTTAACCCTGTGCCATTTCACATTATTACACATAACTTAGTACTTACTTGGTAAACTCCCACTGTACCTCTGTAACCTCCTCTCTGTGAATTCTGGTAGTTATCAGTTGCGCTCCTCTCAGTGGTTACTTTTTAATGTACCCCGAGCTTCAACTAAGTTGGGAAAAACTGCATTCTCCTACTCTGCACCTTGGGGATGGAATAACCTCCAGAAAGAGCTCAAATTAGAAACTCTCATGTCCATTAATTAATTTAAAGCAACCATGAAGAATGTAGTGATGGAGATATATGCTTGTTTTTCTTGAGATGCTCAATGTGTTTTAACATACTGCTCTGATTTTATTTTTTTTAATTATTATTATTATTATTATGAAAAATGTAATATGTTGTAAATATGTATGAACTTCCTGTGGTTTGGCTGCTACCTTGGCCAGGTCTCTCTTGAAAAAGAGATTCTGAATCTCAATGGGACTTTCTGGTTAAATAAAGGTTACATAAAAAACAATTAAAAAAATAACCTAAAGGTATAGTGGAGGATGTTCTGTTTCCAGGTGGATCATCAAAATAAGTAGTCCTCCTAATTGTCAATCATTGTGGTGATATGTTTACGTAAGGCCGTCCTAGATTAGATCTATAAAGTAGGTAAATAAAATGTTTGGCAATTTCAGTGACAAGCTGTATATTAATCAGCCATGAGAAGCCTACTAGAAGCTAGAGGAGAAAACCCCTGAAGCCATTCTATGGGACTGGTGCTGTTTAACTGTGCATTTTTATTTTCTATAATGCTGTTTTACACACACCAATGTTCTCCCACTGATATCAAACTCTGTTAAATAGGTCTGTGTAATGCTGCAAATGTGATGATGGATAAGGTCATGGATGAATGTAATGGATTACAAGGTGAAATGGTACATAAAAATATTTTCTGAATACGAAAGTTAGGCATTCATTCTCTGTAAATTAATGCCAATCATTCTTTAATATGATCCTCATCAAAAATAAATGCTATGTTATTTTGTAAAACCTACTGTGTCTAACATACTCCGTGAATTATTTATTTTTAATTGTATGCACAAAAGTATGAAAAAAACTCTGACCATATCAGGAAATAAAAGTGTTTGGCTCCAAGGAAAGCAGAGATAGAGAACACGGAGTCTCCTGAATAAAAACTGCTCCTGACCAGGTTAGCTCTAGGGAGCGTTACTACAGCAACAGAAACTGAGGATGAGTAAACACTCTTTGTGAAAACTCAGAGTTTCACTGATTTCAAGTTTAGAAAAGTTAGTTTTCAGTAAACCTGCTTCTTGAACTACACTACTACTTGCTCTATATCTTAAGGTGAAAAATGACAGCAGATTAAATGTATCCGCTAAATCCTATTGGTGTGTTCGTTTGGAAATTTTAAATTGTTTCATATTAATTCCATTACATATATTGATTAATGAGTTCTTATTTCTATTTTCTTACTTATAAAAGTGTTTACTCAAGCTTTTACACCTGCAATGCCCCACAATGTCTGAGTGAGAAGAATTGTTTGGGGAATGAAACAACCATTCCCATAACAAACCAGGTTATTTCTCAGTGTTTATTCCTAAATTTTTACTGTTTCCTCGAAGTGTAATTTGTTTTGATTACCTGTGCTCCAACCTTCACAGCTTTCCCAGACTAAGTTAGTGAGACAAAATTTGTCTAGTCAGAACAGGGCTGGACATCATAACGTCTTGTTCTCTTTCTTTGCAAATAAATAAAGTGTAGACTGAGTGAAATCCATTGACCTTGTTTATTTAACTGGACTGCATAGTTGAATACCTTTTTTCACGCAACATTATATTCATCCAAGGACCCTGTCTGAATCTCATGCTGAGGTCAGGCAGGTAATAGGGAACATAAACAGTACCTGAACCTTATACTTTAATGAATCAGGCCCTTAAAGGACATAGGAACAGATGTATTCGTACAACCCTAGAAAAATAATACAGAATAACAAAGAGACTAAGGTGAAGGTTTTTGATTACAAATACTTTAGAAAAACCAAACAGCAAACTATTTACAGAAATTATTTTTAATGTGGTTTTGCTTTCCAGATCACTACAAACCTCACAAGGTTACATTTTAGTCAAGAAGCCAACATATTTCATTTGTCCAAGTCAGAGGTCACAAAAGAGATGACTTTAGTTGCTTTGAGATTTTACATCAGTACTGAAAGTCTATCCTATACTTCCTAATAGTGTGCTTAACCCTGTAATGCCAAATGTATCATATTTGATACAAACGTTTTCTGAAATGTTTTGCGTCTGACACCTTTTGCATAATTTAATGGTAAAAACTTTGCTCAAAATCCTATTGTACACAATCAGATATACCTGATAACAGAGGGCAGAAGACTACACAAAAAATAATCTTGACTTATCGCATAGTAATAAATTATTAATATCAAATGTATTGCTGTTTTTTTTCTTTTTACATATTTTGTTAAAAGACCAAATAAGGACTTCTAACCAAAAAAAAGTAATTTTCTGTTTTGTTTTATTCTTGGATCGGGCTTTAAAGGGTTAATAGTCCTACTACTTTGAACTACTTTCCCACAGCCCACTCATCAGAGACCCTTTTCACTTTTATGAGTTTTCATGTGAGCCATCATGTGACACCTGACACTGAAACCTTTTCCACAGGTTGTACAAAGGAACGGCTTCTCACCGGTGTGAACCCTCATGTGACGAGTTAAATGGCTCCTCAATAGGAAGCTCTTTCGGCAAGTAACACATGGGAACGGCTTCTCACCTGTGTGAGTTCTCATGTGAATTATCAGATAACTTCTCACACTGAAACTTTTCCCACAGGTTACGCATGGGAAGGGTTTCTCACCAGTGTGAGACCTCATATGAACAGTCAAGCTGCCGCTGCAGCCAAAGGATTTCCCACATACTTCACAATCATATGGTTTCTCGCCAGTGTGAGTCCTCATGTGTCTGTTTAAATTGCTTTTTCGACTGAAACTATTTCCACAGCTTACACACAGGTAGGATTTCTCTTTTGTGTGAGTTCTCATGTGTGTATTCAGATATGATTTTGTACTGAAACCTTTCCCACATTTCAGACATGTAAAAGGTCTCTCACCTGTGTGAATCTTCATGTGAGAAGCCAGACGGCTACTCTGAGTAAAACCTTTACAACACACTTCACAACTGTGCAGCTTCTCGTCAGTGTGCGTTCTCATGTGAATGGTCAAACTGCTCCTTACTCTAAAGCTTTTCCCACATGCGGCACATGGAAAAGGTTTTTCACCTGTGTGTGTACTCATATGAACATTCAAGTGGCTTCGCAAACTAAAATTTCTTCCACAGTAAGAACAGGGGTATGGTTTCTCACCTGTGTGTGTTCTCAAGTGAGTGATCAGGTGACTCCTAACACTGAAACTTTTCCCACAGCTAATGCATGAAAAAGGTTTTTCTCCTGTGTGAGTTCGCATGTGAGTATTTAAATTACTTTTCGCTCCAAAACTCTTCCCACAGGTAATACACTGGAAAGGTTTCTCCCCTGTGTGGATTCTCATATGAGTTATTAAATGACTTTTTACAATGAAGCATTTCTTACAGCTCGGACAGGGAAATGGCTTCTCACCCGTGTGAGTTCTCATATGGGCAATGAAGCTGCTTCGTGCACCAAAACTTTTCCCACAGGTGGGACATGTGAAGGGCTTCTCACCTGTGTGAATTCTCATGTGAACAGTTAAACTGCCTTTGTCGTTTAGAAACTTACCACAGACTTCACATGGATGCTGTGTCTTACTGGCATGAGATCTCATGTGATTATTTAAATGGCTACTCTGGGTGAAACTCTTCCCACAAACTTTACAGGAAAACAAGTTTTGTCCTGTTTGGATGTGAAACGTTTTACGCTTTTTATTCTTGGAACCATGTGCAACGTCAGTTTGTGCTCTGGATTTCTGACATGTCCTCTTTGACCTTGTTTTGGGACTTTTACACAGTCCTGCCTTTTTTCTTTTTCGTCCCTTTTCCTGGTCTTCAGCCCCAAGAGAGTTCTGGGGTATGTGTCTATGTGGTTCTGGCTTCCTGATGTCTCCATCTTCACAAGCAGGATTCATAACCAATGTGTCCGTTTCCTCCTTCAATACGAGCTGGACTTCATCCCGACTGGTGCAGTATTGGTCAAGTTCCTCTTTTATCCTTACATCCTCAGCACGTTGTTCATTTTCTAGCTGTTTATTCAGAAGTTCCTCCTGTTCCCCTTTGATATTTGGAAGATGTGGATCCTCCTGTTCGTCCATCTGGTGAGGGTTTTTGTTTCTTCTGGTTCAGATGGATTTCCTCTCTGGGTTTTAGAGAAATCTCTTGAGTAAAAAAAAAAAATTTATAAAATAAAAATACTGGCGGAGGTCTGAGGAGACAAAGAACACAAAGGTTTCAACAAATATTAAATATTAAATAAATTTATAAAAGGCAAATCGAAATTTTGAGATTTTTTAATCATATTAGTTTCACAAAAATTATGTTTCAATAAATCCATCAGCATATCAATCACAAAATGTTGCTTTTATGTCTTGAGGATCATGTTGGCATATAAGTTACTGTCTTAAATCTATTCAAATCTTATGTAGGTCAATATTTTTCTCTGCATCCTGGTCCCGCCACCCTGATGTTGCCTAATTTCAATTTTGAATCGCTTACAGTTTTTTTTTTTTTTTTTTTTGCGTGTCTGCTGCGCCTTGTGTCAATTTTTAGTTAGTATAACATTTGGTTTTCTTGTTGTGCAAAAGATCTGCAAATGTATCTGACCATTAAGCCACTTTGTGTTATTATTGTTATTTGATCTTGTGTATTTCACATTTTTGTGTTGCTCGCTTTGTGCATCCCTTTGGACAGAAGTAGCTGCGTTAAATTTGCTGTATATATAAATTTACCATTGACAATATAAACAACTGATAGTGTGTTTCACTATTATAAATTGAAAGATTTTTTTATTTTTCCGTCAATCATTAATTTTTTTGTCCTGAGGTTTTACTGGTACAGGCTCAACCATTTAGTATTTCAGGCGATTTAGTCCTTGAAGGAAATTATTACAGCGATAATAATTGAAAATGCTTAATCATGGTGTTAAGGAGAGCAACAATATTTGATTACTGAAGTAGAAGTAAAATGAAGGACCCAGAAATTGACCTGGTCTACTCACAGTATTCTAGGCTAGTTAAATTCTAAATTCTGTACTGTTTGATTTCACATGCAACCTGAGCAAAACCAAAATTATGAAAAAATAAAACAGAATATGAAAGCATTTTAGCACAATAAATGTCAAATTTAGAAGTTAGCCATAAAAAGAGATCAAGGCTTCAGCTCATTGCTCAACACAACAGAACCTTCGACCCAAAAGTCTCTCCCAGAGCAACAACTCCAAGCTGAGCGGTTCTATTCAGCTTCTTCTTTTTTATTTCATTGTGTTAAAGATGTTGCATTATCTAAGGCTGCTCTATACACCTGGCTTCAGCATCAGCAGATCTGTGAGTGAGTAAGGCCAGTAGAAACCTGCAGCACTCAGGTCACAGGGACAATGAAAGCAGATCAAAAAATTTTGATTTATTCAAATTAAAATGATCATTAAACCTTGTAGTCTTAAGATTCTCGGATACCATCCAGATCTAATTTTAGCCTAATTAACAGGTTTTATCCAAAGAATCATTCCTAAGGACTCATACCAGCCACGGATTGGGGCCTCTCTGCCAAAATGAAGCTGCTAAACTCTCCTTCCTCTATCTTGACCAGGAAATAAAACAGAATAAAAGCATAAAAATGGATTTCTAACAACTAAGTTGTTGGTGACTGAAGCCGAACTGTTCATTCATAAGATTCATGTGGAACTTAACTGGTGAACTACAAACTCTAATGTCTTTAAATAGGATGAAAGGGAATGCATATAAAGAAGAGGGCTGGATCACTACTGGGAAAGTCAGATTTGGGTGAGATCGAATATTATTGGTTCATCCAGAAGAGCTCCTTTTGGGGTCCATCTGATCATCCCTACAGAGGACAGAAAGCTGGGAGTCCTGAGGCTCAGGGCAGCTTCTATTCCAGAACCACCCACAATGGCCCTCTATGCAGTTAGTTTCAAAATCAACTTAAGCCCTGAACACACCAAATCCGATTTTGCATCCGATCTGACAGAAAATCCTGTTGGATGAGGTGGTCACGCTCATTGTCAGTAGGGATTAACAGAGCCGACACAATTTTCTGCAAGTGGGTTTGCGTAGCTCAAACTGAGATAGACCACAGGTCTATTTTAGTCCGACTACGCAGCAATTTCATGGCACTGACAGGCAGAAAGTTGCGGTTACAAAGTAAAACACATCCGCTTTGGGGGAAAACACTAAATAAATCTGTCAATCAAAAAGGAAATACAGTTAGTTTTGGAGTCGCACAGCGAATATAAAGTAGGCCGGACAAAATGAAACATTAAAAAAAAAAAAAGAATACTTTACACATGATAGGAGTTCAGGAGGACAGAAAATGGATATAGCAAAATAGCGATCCTGTTTAAGCTTCATCAAATAACAAAATGAGGAGGGGTGCTCATCTATGAAGCCGGGCGGTTATGGACAGATCCATAGATGCTTAAAGAAAAGCCTTATTTTTTCTGGTTAAGTTTTTCTGCCCATTCTAAACCCAGAAGTGTGACGTCACTCCAGGACAATGGCTAGCCAACATGATGGATATAAACAGTGAAATGGATAGCAATAGAAAATATTTCTGAATCTTTGTCAAGTGAGCTTATTTCAACCAATGAAAAATAGAATCCAGTCAGTGAACAGGTTCTGCAACTGCTGCCTCTTATTTTTGAGCCTGACACCTGGTCGCAGTAGGAAAACGAAGGGAAGATGGAGTCAATGGAGATAACGAGGAGACGGGAATGATGGTCACTGGACATGTAAACATTTTCACAATGGTAGGCATTGAAATAGCATGTTTTCGACCTCTATAAAGATGAGTTATAAGAGACTTGTTTAAGCTTTTAAATCTGAGGGCTTGTACAGCCCAGCTGACATATGCACATCTTGAGCTTTTTATAGCCTGTAGCCTGTATATATATGGCAAAAAATAATCATGAGAACATGTATTAACCAAACTGTTGTGGACCTACAGTACGTACTTTAGACCCAACATGGTATAAATGACTAAAAACATTCAACAATAATGTACAGACGAGCTATCCCAGACTATTAGAATCCAGATTGGGGGTCCCACGAACTGCACTGCATGCAGTTAATAGAGAGCCGTTTCTAGACAGAGTGAGCAAATCCCCATTTGTGCAGATTATTTTTTCACTTCTGTCCCAGTGCCCCACAGATTGAAGCAATATCCTGACTTTGACTGGGTCTGATTATTATTTATTTTTTTTATTAAAAAAAATAACTACAAAAAAAGCAGCAATTAGGACTACAAAGCAAACCCTGACTTCATTACCAGCCTGCTGCAGCATGCTCCTACTAGAGCAGATAGACAATCTTTATCAGATTGAAAATATAATGGGAAATATGTTTAAAGAAAATGAAAACTAGGCAGTAAAGGCAGTGGTGTGGATTAAATAGGTAGGATGCTGGGTGAGGCAGAGAGAGATTAGTGAAGTTTGTCGAAGTATTTTTTTTCATAGAGGGGAGTCATTCCCACTTTGTTCTGTTTTCTTTCTTTTTTTGGAAGGCTCAAAGCGGATCACTACTTCACTTTATCCAATTTTTGTTCTTCTGAACTCCTATTACATGTAAAGTATTCTGCCTATTGAATTGTTTTTGTTGATTGTTTACATCCCAGTCTGCCCCGCTTGCTATATACATGAAAGTGTGATTCCAAGCAGAACAAACCTGATGGTTTTCCCTTTTAACTGACAGATTTTATTTAGTATTTCCACCAAAGTGGATGTGTTTTACTTTGCAACCACATCTCTCTTCCCGTTAGAAACTGAATTGTTTTCTCTTCCAAATCGGTCTTCGAGACTTTAGACTTCTTTTTAGGCCATTCAGAAAAAAGCCCACTATAGTCTTGAGAGCAACGTAATGCTGTGTACATCTCTGTGTCATAAGGATGGAACGGTTTATGAAAACCGTTGGAAGACTCGCCAGCAGCACTCTATAGGTCTGCTGTATGGGACCACTTTGCATTTAGAGTGACCTACGATGACAGCGGAAAGAAAGTTGTGGATAAAAGTGCAACAGTGTGCAAGCATTGTGCAACACATTTTGTTTATGCTAACAGCAACACGACCAACATGTCAGGCTAACAAACAACATATACCGAACCGAACACCGTGACCACGAAACCGTGAACCGAACCAAACAGTGGATTTTTTGAACCGTTATACCCCTACTGTGTCATTACAGAAATTAATTGATAAAAAACAAAACAAAGTTTCTTTAGCTTCTTCCAGACGAGAGCAATTTCCCAGTTTCTAAGGTGGTTGCTATGGTGAGTTCTTGGATTTGGCTGATTGATATGAAAAAAATGATTGCCATTTATTAATAATAATTGTCCAGTCCTTGCTGTGAAAAAAATAAAATCTCTATTTCTCTTATTAGTTCTTCGCCTCATCTTTAAGATGGTAGCAGGACCAGCGCCGAAAGGTTCTGCTCCTTGGTTCCATCTAAGCAGAACTGGATAAGAATGTTTTGTTTCTTCTGGACCTTTCTGCTTGGAATGACAGGAGATGAACAGATGACTTTGTTTTTAAATTCATCCTCAGGGTGTACATGTTCATTTCCTCCTTTTTTTTTGTTTGTTTTGTTTCTCTTAGTTTTGTCTCTTAATCTGTTTCCAGGTTTTTGTTTTTCTTGCTGATTGATCATTTGACTCCAGGTTGATTCCTGGTCCAGCATCAGCAGACCTGTCCATTAAGGTGGAGACTTTGATACAAATTGATGTAAAGTGAGGATCTTTTTGAGTCCTTTTTTTCATGGAGGGGAGCAGGGGGTATATTTAGGCCAGGGTTATACCATAGAAAAGAATGAAAAAATGAAAGGAATGAAAACAAAGGTGTCTGTTTATAGAACAGAGCAGAGTTGCTGTGGAAATGCTTCTCAATGTGGAAGAACAAGAGCTCACCTGTGGCCTTGGAATCGGCTCAGTGGGCGTGGTCTACGTTGATTTGCCTGCAAGGTGACGGCGGAGGCTGAGCCCCTTCTGGACAACCGACGTTAGCAGTAGGTTAAAGGACATCTCTGAGCAAGATCATCCCCATCATGATCATCATGCTCTAAGAGAGCAACATGGCAGCTGGCTGCTGGGTTTGGAGGAGCTGCAGCGAAATGTCACGCTGCGCCTCACTCTGTGAATCTAAGACACAGATAAAAAGATTTATGACAAAAAAATAAACCTGCTGAAATTAGTGCTCAGTTCACTGCTAGAAAAAAAAACTAATATTATTTTCAACCAAACACTAAAGCTGCATTAAGGAGTTTTGAGAAAACTATTAACGTCGGACAGGATTTGAACAAGCACTCCTCCCACGCCTAATTGTCCTTGAAAAAAAATAAATATTATCACAGGTCTTTCAATTGAAAAGTCATCTATTTGAAAAAGGACTCCCACTTCACCAACATGACTGGCATCAACCTGAAGTTTAAAAGGCTTATTTATAGCAGGAGCCAACAAGACAGGAGAAGTGCATAGCATCTTCTTCAAGTCTAAAAACACTATCCAGGGTGGGAAAGGAGCTCTGGACTGCTGTGCTGAATCCAGACATCCTTCCAGCATCATCACACTACAGACACATTGATGTCTAACCAGGACTACAGACAAAAAAATTATTAGAATTAAACTAAAGTTTAAAAAATGCAGCAAATGGCTGAAACTCTCTGGTATAAAACCCAAACAACACATAGGGGAGAATATTAGCTTCCCTGAACTGCAGGCAGTAATTCAGAAAAGATTTATATTAAATCCTGGCTGGGAATTTCTGGTTTAGCTTTACTGAACCACTGATTCACTTTTTTTATTTCAATATAAAATATTTTAAAGTAATTTGTTTTCTTGCTAATTAAATTTAAGCAAAAACACAGAGTCCAGAATACTTGGAAACTAAATGTTTTTATGGTCTTTCTGATGATAGTGTCACTTTGATAGAGAATAAAAACACTCAGAACCTTCAGGAACAACTGAGCAAGAAAAAGCTTCAGAAATTCACCATGAGAAAATTAGACTTAGATTTATTTTATTTTGTATACACAGATATATAGATAAATTTCGTTTAGAACAGCTTTCTAGACCATTTCTCCTCCTCTCTTCACCAAATATTGATCATGCTACCAAATATTCCAGTTCAGTGGTCATTACTGGTTCCTTTCAGAGCAGAGGAACAAAAACACCTTCCTGAGTCCAAACCTCAGGTGCTCGGATAAAGGATCCGGACTTCTGGGCCTTCGGTTCTGGTTGTTCTGGTCCATACCTGCTTAGCTTTGGGTACCGGGAGGCTCTAGGGTCCAGTTCTAGTCTATGGACATCCTAAAAAAAATTTTATTTTGCTTTATTTTTGTGGATAAATGCAGAATTAAAACTAGACATTCTAGCGCTGTTAGCATTTCCCATTGGTGTCACAAAAAT